CGGCCCAGAGGCAGGCGTAACAGGAGGAGGGGAAGCCCACCTGCACAGAGAAGTCCCCAGGCTGGGGCGGCGGGCTGGACAGGGCACACAGGGGACCCTGGTGTCAGTGCTGCTCCTTCCAGGCAGGCGTCAGGGGTGCATTTCAGCAATGGCTCAGCATGCGGCGTGGGCCTCCCGCAAGCCAGTCGCAAGGGGCTCCACTGCCAAGTGTGGACTCCTGCCTGCGCCTGGCTCAGAGCGGGGGTGGGCAAAAGGGCTCTGGCCACAGATGCCTGGCTGCTCCCTTGGCCCCCAGGCTGATCAGGACCTGGGGACAGGGGAGCGTGAAGTCTCCTGTCGCCCTGCAAGGGGCACATTGTGCTTAGGGTCAACCACCAGCTGCTGGCCCCTCGCAAGGGACTTCCTGGGCCCCTCACCATCCCCCGGCCCTACTCAACAGCTGGCAGCTCTCTCTCCAGAGGGCAGGGCAAAGACTCCTCCCACCCCAGGCCAAGCAGAGTCTGTGGGCAGGTAAGCCAAGAAGTGTCCTGGCCCCTCCCCGAGGCCCCGCCCCTTTCGGAGTACCCCAGGGCCACTTCAAATGGTTCTCAAGTGGCCCCCCGTCTAAAACTGCCCACCCCGAGCTAGAGGGGAAAACACAGGGGGCAGACAGGCGAGGGGGCCACCCGGCAGGAGGTGCCCAGGCAGCTCGGCAGGCTGAAGGGCTGGGTCCCAGCCTGTAGCGCAGCAGCTGCCTGCTCCAGGATGGGAATCCACGTGCGGCCGGGGATGCGCAGACACTGGGCTCGGACACTCACCGTCAGGTAGTGCTCGCAGTCCCGCACCTGGTTGTGACTCAAGTCCAAGACCTTCAGGGCGTTCAGCAGTTGCTGGAAGGGGTGCGAGAGCATCTGCGTCAAGCCCGCTGACTCAACCAACGACACACTGCAAACTGGAAGGGCTAGGCCCTGCCCCCCAGACTCCCCACACCCTGCCCATGGGGCCTGGCAGCATCACAGCCAACCTAAGAACAGAGCAGCCAGACGGGTCAGCCCAACGATCCATCCAGCCCAGCATCCAGTCTGCCCACAGCGGCCAGCGCCAGGTGCCCCCGAGGGAGGGAACACAGCAGGTAGTCCTCATGTGATCCCTCCCATCACCCATTTCCAGACAGAGGCCAGGGACACCGTTCCTACCCATCCCGGCTAATAGCCGCTAATGGGCCTAACCTCCATGAATCTAACTAGCTCTTCTTTGATCCCTGTTGAAGTCCTAGCCTTCACCACATCCTCTGGCGAGGAGTTCCACAGGTTGACTGCACTAGCCTTCACCACATCCTCTGGCGAGGAGTTCCACAGGTTGACTGCACTAGCCTTCACCACATCCTCTGGCGAGGAGTTCCACAGGTTGACTGCACTAGCCTTCACCACATCCTCTGGCGAGGAGTTCCACAGGTTGACTGCACTGAGTGACGAAAAACTTCCTTTGGTTTGTTTTAAACCTGCTGCCTATTCATTTCATTGGGTGACCCCTAGGTCTTGTATTGTGGGAACAAGTAAACAACTTTTCTTAGTCACTTTCTCCACACCAGCCCATACCACGGGTCCCGCTCCCCTCACCAGTGACCCATCCAGGGCAGTGATGGAGTTGTGGCTGAAGTTCAGGGTCTGCAGTTCCAGCCAAGGGAGGGCAGAGCTCAGATCCCCTCCGCAGGCAGAGATGACCTCCTAGGAAGGGGAGAGAGATCAGCAGCAGCACACGGCAAGCAACGGGACAGGAGCTGGGTACCACAGAGCAGCTGGGACAGCATGGAAGGGCTGCACCCTGCCCATCTTCAGACACTCGTCCCCACCCATAGGAAGCAGCAGCCGCCCCGGCTCAAGACATGGAAGGAAGGAGAAATGCCGTGTCCTGGCACGGCCGAGGGCCTGCAGCTATTCACGTTTGCATGTTCTGACCAGGAGCTCCTGGAGACCAGGCATGAAGGTTGCCCAAGCCCTTTGCACGCTGCCACAGCTTCAGCAAATCCTGCCCCAGTGGCCGGCAGGCAACCCAGCCGGCTCTGGCAGGGCTGGTGGGGAGCTCAGCAGGAGGTGGAGGCCAGGCAGTTCCGGCTCCAGGAGCCCAACCACAGAGGCCAGGCAGTTCCGGCTCCGGCGGGGCCGACAGGGAGCCCTGCGGGAGGTGGGACGCCCCAGAGGCCAGGCAGTTCCATCTACTCTGCACTAGTTAGGCCTCAGCTGGAGTACTGTGTCCAGTTCTGGGCACCACATTTCAAGAAAGATGTGGAGAAATTGGAAAGGGTACAGAGAAGAGCGACAAGAATGATTAAAGGTTTAGAGAACATGACCTATGAAGCCAGGCTTCATGAACTGGGCTTGTTTAGTTTGGAAAAAAGAAGATTAAGGGGGGACATGATAGCGGCTTTCAAATATCTAAAAGGGTGTCACAAGGAGAAAGGAGAAAATTTGTTCCTCTTGGTTTCTGAGGACAGGACAAGGAGTAATGGGCTTAAAGTGCAGCAGGGGAGGTTTAGATTGGACATTAGGAAAAAATTCCTAACCGTCAGGGTGGTCAAATATTGCAATAAATTGCCAAGGGAGGT